AACCCCCTAAACCCTAAACCCCTGGACCCTCAACCGTCAGGCCTCGGGGCTCCCCTGCCAAAGGCCCTCGATTCCTCAGAAAATCTACCCCCAAAAGACCTGTCTACCCAGAGGGTTGAGGGTTGAGGGTTTAGGGTTTAGGGTTTAGGGTTGTGAGGGTTGTGAGGGTTGTGAGGGTTGTGAGGGTTCAGGGTTTAGGATTCAGGGTTTAGGGTTGAGGGTTGAGGGTTCAGGGTTTAGGGTGTTAGGGTTTAGGGTTTAGGGATGCACCCTGAAACCCTTACCCCTTTGTAGGATTAAAAATGAGTATAGGGGCCTGAATAATAAGAAAAAGGTTGTGGGGCCCATTTTACCATGACTATAATCAGGAACCCTCACAATAATATTGGTAATTATTTGGGCCCCTACGTTACGGACTGCGCAGCAAAGCAGGCCTGCGCTGTGACGGAGAAGGCCAGGAACGCGCAGAAGGCGCAGGAGAGGGTCAGCAGCCACATGAAGAAGCCTCGGCGCAGGGACAAGTTGTCCCTCAACCCTAAACCCTAAACCTGAAGTCCTAATCTTGATACCCTAAACCCTAAACCCTATAATCTCTAATCCCTAAACCCTAAACCTGAAGTCCTAATCTTTAATCTCTAATCCCGAATCCCTAAACCGCGAACCCCCCCCCCCCCAGGCTCAGCCGCGCACGTCCAGGGATAGTTTCATACTTGGAGGATCATGGGACTTAGATTTCAGGGGTTTAGGGTTTAGGGTTTAGGGCAAGTAAGGTTATAAGTCGGGGTTACTAGGTCAATATAAGTATAATAACCTTAACTATAACCCTACTTACTAAGTCCCATGATCCTTTAAGTAGCACAGCTGCAACACCCATCAAGCAGCCTAGCAACAAACGTTCCTTCGTAGGAATGCAGGACCTAGGACTGTGCTGTTTTGGTTTCCAACGCAAGACGGAGATGCATTAAACATCAACAAGTATTTCACAAGAAGTTAAAAACCTTTTTTTAGGAGACGAGCGGCCGTCGTTGGCGTTGGCGTCAGCCACCTTCACATGCTTTCGGCTCGTTTGGGAGTGTCGGGTTAGGTCTTAGGTCTTGGGAACCCTAAATTCTAACCCTAAACCCTGAACCCTACAACCCTAAACCCTGAAACCCTAAAGCTCTGAACCCTAAACCCTGAACTCTACAACCTAAACCCAACAGCCCTAAACCCTGAAATCCTAAAGCCCTAAAGCCCGGTTCCTTTAAGGCTGCTTTCATGGTTCGTTGGGCTTGAGGTTGAATTATGGAGTTATCTTATCGTATACTGGGAAAACAAAGAGCCCTTAAGGATAGATAACCCTAAGAAATAGGATTACTAGTTATTCAAGCTTCGCGAATATCTCAAGATGCTTTATGGATTGCCATTTAGATCTCGGCAAAAGGTTGAAGGTCCCTAAAAATCAAACCCTACTTGGAGGACCATGGGACTAAGTAAGTAGAGTTATAAGGTTGTAAGTATAGTTACCTTAGTTATAAACCTACTTACTAAGTCCCATGATCCCTTAAGTAGCAAGACTTACCTTCATGTGGCCAGTGCCTGTGTGGGTCCCGTGCTGAAAACAAACCAATGTCGCAGTGACCAGGTACAGTACAAGGATTTTGGGGTGTAGGGTTCCTAAAACCCTAAACCCTAAACCCCAGGGAACCCAAAACTTTAGGGAACCCTAAACCCCAAACCCTGAACTTTAGGGAACCCTAAACCCTAAACCCCATACAACCCTGAACCCTAAACCCTGAGACACCCCAAAGCCTAAACCCTTCAGCCCTAAATCCAGAAGCGCCTCAAGGCATGGTCCTAATATAGGAGTTCAGGGTTTAGGGTTTAGGGTTCAGTGTTTAGGGTTTAGGGTTTAGGGTTGGTCTCCTGAACCCTAAACCCTAAACCCTAAACCAAAACTCTAGAGCCCTGAAAGCCCTAGAACCCTCCGAAACCGAAAATCCCAGAGACTACAAAACCCCTCAACTAAGGAATATACCTGAAAATTACAACAGGAAACCTAGTAAGACTTAAGGTATATTCCTTCATTATGGGGTTGTGGAGTCTCTGAAATCCCAAACCCCATAGATCCCATGTATAAGACCCTCAAACGCGCCCTTGCCCCTAAACGCCCGGCGCCTTGGCGTTGATCCAGCTGCCGATGATCAAGGTCTGGGAGATTTCCATGATCTTGCCTTGGTGCCCCAGACGGTTTAAGGTTTAGGGTTTAGGGTTTAGGGCTTAGGGCTTAGGGCTTAGGGTTTAGGGTTTAGGGCTTAGGGTTTAGGGTTTAGGGTTTAGGGTGTAGGGCTAAACCCTGAACCCTAAACCTTAAACCCCAAACCCTAAACACCAGGCCCCAAAAGCCTTCCAAACAGCAAGCCCTGAACCTTCATCCTCTTGTAGTGTTTAGGGTTTAGGGTTTAGGGTTTAGGGCTTAGGGCTTAGGGTTTAGGGTTTAGGGTTTAGGGTTTAGGCTTTAGGGTTTAGGGTTTAGTAGTACCCATTTACACATCCTTAAAGGAACCCCCATCCGAACCCGACCACCCTAGAGCTTTTCTGGAAACCCTAAACCCTATACCCTCGGCCCTAAAACCCAAATCCTAAACCCTAAACTCTACACCCTAGGCCCTAAGCCCTAAACCCCAAACCCTAACTGTAAACCCTCGGCCCTCGGCCCTAAGCCCTAAACCCTAAACCCTAAACCCTAAACCCTAAACCCTAAACCCTAAACCCTAAACCCTAAACCCTAAACCCTAAACCCTACCCTAAACCGGGACTTCTGCGGGCGACTCCGGGTCGGCCCTCATTGCGACATACGTACTTCCGGCATACCGCCGTGCAAAAATCACGGTACTCCCAGAAACCTTAATTAGGGTTTAGGGTTTAGGGTTTAGGGTTTAGGGTTTAGGGTTTAGGGTTTAGGGTTTAGGGTTTAGGGTTTAGGGTCCCAAAACCCCTTAATTACGGAATTGACCCTAACTCTTATTAGGGTTCCTATTATAATTTAAGGCATATTCCCTAATCAAGGGGTTTTGGAGTGTCTGGGCTTGTCGGCGTAGTTTAGCGCCGGGACATCGTAGAGAGGACCGCCTTCTTCCTCTGCCGTGTTGGCGCGGGACACAAAGAATTGCTCTATCCTCTGGATGAGCTCGGTCATGCCCATGCGCATGTTCTTGAGACCAGGGCGCAACCTATGTTGATGCCAAGATTCCTGCGACTGGGAGCCAACGACGTAACCCGGCTGACAGTAATCTGGGGCGCCCCTCCACGAGGCCTGCACTTCACCGTCTGCGACGACCAGGTAGTGGGCTTTCAGCGCCTCGACGGCATCGTCTTCGCCCGCATCTCTCAGGCACGTGAGAAACGGTGGTAAGCGGCTCCTTTGCCCTGACCTACAGAATGTTACAACTTACTTATTGTGAAAGATCCCTCAGCTTAATTTTACGGGTCTTGCGGCTAAGTAACTAGGGTTATAAATAAGGCAACTATACTTATCAGTACCTAGAGCCCCAATTAAGGTACTTACAACCTTCTTTATAAGTCCACTACGTCCCATGACCCTCCAAGTACCCTAAACCCTAAACGGTAGACCCTAAACCCTAAACCGTATAGTTGTCAAGTCTCGAAGCCCCTTCACTCTGAACCCAAAGCGTCCTAAACCTTCGTAGCTGGAATAGGTCGTCAGTGTATGCTGCTGTTGATGATACAAATCCTGAAACTCCTCGAAGGACCTTAAACCATGGGACTTATGGTATCTTCCTTATTATGGGTACTGCAGGATTTAAACCATCAACCCTACACACTATGCGTGAGACAAGGAGCCTCAAAATAGTGCTGATGATTATTTCGGCCCCCCCCTAAACCCTACCCCCTAAACCCTGAGCCCTAAACCCTAAACCCTACCCCCTAAACCCTAAACCCTAAACCCCGAACCCCGACACCCCTAAGCCCCTAAACCCTAAACCCTAAACCCTAAACCCTAAACCCTAAACCCGAAACGCTTGAACCCTGAATCCGAAACCCAAAGCCCTCGACCCTATCCCCTACCCGCTAACACCCACGGTATAGGGTTTAGGGTTTAGGGTTTAGGGTTTAGGGTTTAGGGTCGAGGGTTTAGGGTTTAGGGTTTAGGGTTTAGGGTTTACCTGAAACTCTCTTTACCGACAGTTTAGCAGCCATTGCCCCTGAATTAACCCACAAAACGCCTGGCATAGCAACAGTGTTGCCAGTATGCTTGCACAACCCACTCGCACCACTAAACCCCACGTGGATCAAATTGACTGGCCGTTAATCCAGAAGAGTGCTGGTCCTCGACCGTCTTCCTCTTCAGTACGACCTTTGAGCAAGTTCTCCTGGGACATAATCTCTTGCCCAATCTTGCCATTGACGCAACGACTTGGTCAAAACATCAAGGATCATTTTTTGTTGATCGGTCATGTGATTGCCGTAGAGATGATTCTCTCTAAGCCTCACAACCGCACGACAGTGATCCTCACTCCCCGCAGCTTCACCGCGATCGCCTATAGTTAACTCTTGATTACTTGGAGGTTCATGGGACTTAGTAAGTAAGGTTATAAGTCCCTTAGTTGGGGTTAGAAGTAAATATAATAAGTACAGTTACCTTAACTACAACCCTACTTACTACGTCCCATGATCCTTTAAGTAAGCGGTGTCACATTGCTTTTTATCAGCCATCGGGCAATGTCACCGTAGTCACCCTTGTGGTCTGCAGCTGCAATGGCTGCTTGGGAAAGGTTCGACTGCGGCTGTGCGGGGTCGGGAACATACTTAAAGGATCATGGGACTTAGTAAGGTTATAAGTCCCCTAATTGGGGTTCCTTGTATAGCTAGCTTAGCTATAACCCTACTTACTGAGTCCCATGATCCTTTAAAGTATGCTTCGCCATGGTGTTGACACCTCTGCTTAAGCAGTTCTCTGAACTCACGCGCGCGAGTCGCGACGTGAAGTGTTGTTTGCGCACACATAGGGTTTAGGGATTAGGGTTTAGGGGCCCCAAAACGTTGAAGTGGGATGGCTCGTGGAAAACGAAGCCCCCAAGACCCCAACATCCTCTTCGTTCTCACGGTGTCCAAGGCCTCTGAAACTGCCTTACTTAACAAGCTCTATTGTAGGAAACTACAGGTGGGGAGTTTAGGGTATACAGGGCTTCAATAAGGCTTCTATAAGGTA